AACCAATAAAAACCCGATAAAAACCGATAAAGTTTATTGGTTTATTGGGTAACAATTATTTTCTAAAAGAGACACCGAAATTTCCAAGACCGAAGCGATAAATGTGCGATAAAGCGAGAAGCAGCGCAATGACATGGGAGAATTCTCCTAGACATTGCGAAATTAGTGCAGCCCGTCGGAAGCAAATTAAGTTCTAGTTCCAATTCGTGTATATCTCAGTGTCGATCGAGACATGCATTGCACGTTCGACCCGATCGGAGCAAATGAAGTGATGCAGCTGCAGTTTTGTGATGGCCTCTGTTGTGTGCATGCTATGCTGTTCAATGCTGCTATGCACGATGGTACCGAGAGCATTTTGCTTTGAAGGTTGAAATGCCAGGCCCAGCCCCGTGTCGGTATCGAGTGCCAACCAAAATGGCAGCCAAAGAGGCTATAAAAAGCCCGCGCCGCCGCAAGCGTGTGTCCCAGGCCAAGCTGATGAAGCTTGCCAAGATGAAATCCAGCCCCAAGAAGAAGCCAACGACATGTGCAACACCGGCTCCGGATCCAGTGCTTCTCAAGGGAAGCAAGGGTGGCAAGGATCTTAAGGATCGGTCTGTGACTTTTGGGCCGACCACAACAGTCGAGACGACACCGCAAGGGAAGAAGAGACGAAGCGAAACCGAGGATGCTGCGAGCCCTGCTCCCATGTCGCTAAAGAAGGCCGACTCGATCCTTCAGGAATTGAATCGAAAGCGGGAGCAGAATGCCGCCGACTCATCGTCTGAGGCAAGCCATTAGACCTTTTGCATGGATCTAATATATCCTGGCTTGATTTGTTTTCTGATCATGCTGCAGGTGAAGAGTGAGAGCGACCTACAAAGCAACGATGGTGAATCAGATGAAAGCGAACCTCAGAAGGAAGAGACATCTGATGATGAAGCCAAAGATGATGATGTGGAAGGCAACGAGCCAGAGCAGGCTGCAGACCGAAGCGAAGATGATGGGAGCGCTAATGAAGAGAATGAGGACGATGGTTCCAGCCAGGCAGAGGAGTCGGAAGCAAGCGCTGCCGAGGATCCCGAACAGAGCAGCGCAAGTTATGAGGATGATGATGACGATGACGATGAGTGCGAAGATGACCTCGGTGATTCCCAAGGTGATTCCGAAGCTGATTCCGAGCCAGTCACCAACGATGAGAAGCCGGAGTCTGCAAAAGCGAACAAGGAGAAGAAGAAAGCCAAGGACGATGAGAAGCCGGAGTCTGCAGAAGCGAAGAAGGAGAAGAAGAAGAAAGCCAAAGACGATGAGAAGCCGGAGTCTGCAAAAATGAAGAAGGAGAAGAAGATAGCCAAGGACGATGAGAAGCCGGAGTCTGCAGAAGTGCAGAAGGAGAAGAAGAAAGCCAAGGACGATGAGAAGCCGGAGTCTGCAAAAGCGAACAAGGAGAAGAAGAAAGCCAAGGACGATGAGAAGCCGGAGTCTGCAGAAGCGAACAAGGAGAAGAAGAAAGCCAAGGATGAGAAGCCGGAGTCTGCAGAAGCAAAGAAGGAGAAGAAGAAAGCCAAGGACGATGAGAAGCCGGAGTCTGCAGAAGCGAAGAAGGAGAAGAAGAAGAAAGCCAAGGACGATGAGAAGCCGGAGTCTGCAAAAATGAAGAAGGAGAAGAAGATAGCCAAGGACGATGAGAAGCCGGAGTCTGCAGAAGCGAACAAGGAGAAGAAGAAAGCCAAGGACGATGAGAAGCCGGAGTCTGCAGAAGCGAGCATGGAGAAGAAGAAAGCCAAGGACGATGAGAAGCCGGAGCCAGATAGAAAGAGGAAGCTCGGCGCCGAGGAGGCCTCAGGACTGCCAAACAGCAGCTCACACCACACAGAGTACATGAGGTACAAGCGCTGGCTGAAAAACAAGAAGAGGTTCCCTTCAGCGCTTACGCAACGCCTCGGTACCGAAGAGGGACGAATGAATTTGTTTGCCGACTACATCGAGGCAGGAGGCGACGTTGACAAAATCCTGATCAAGCACGAGCAATAACTCAGGGAGGCACAAAGGAGCAAGATCAGGTATGGGTTTCGGAGCGAGAAGTGGATCAAGGAAACCCATGGGGACACGAAAGCAGCCTACATCATCGAACGCAAGAAGAAGCAAGGTTTGACTCTTGTTTGAACAGCTCGTGTTGTAAGGACATAATGCTTTCAAGACATGTGTGCTGCACATATGAGTTTAGGTGTTGTTTTGTGCAAACACGAGGTTCATGGCCGACCCCGAGTCACCAGAGGACAGCTTGTACTACTGCTTCATCGAAATCAACATCGATGATCTGCGTGAGCTTCAGCGGATTACAAAGATGGAGATCTCGGGCAAAATCGACGAGGGGACTCTGAAAGCCTTCACAGAGGCCTATATCTGAGACGAGCGCTACTTCTAAGTCTTCTAAGTCTAAGTAAGCTGTGCTTGAGTGAGTCGTGCCGGTCCATGCATGCAACCCGAGTGAAGGCTGGTGGAGTGCTTGATCCGAGCAAGCAGCAGCTCAATCTTGCTGCTGGTGGGCCCGCAGCAGCGGGTATGGCAAAGGCTTTGCAGCTGAGTGGAGGTACTATGAAGAAAGGCAACGGCAACAATAAGGGGAAGCGCGACGAAAAGGGCCCGGCCAAGGCAGGGCACCTTGACGACTTGTCGGCTGAGTTCAAGCAATGCCTTTTGTAGCCTTAAGATCATGTCCCAGGTTATAGCAGACACCCCTCTAACGAAAGCCAAAATCTTGGTGAACAATGTGCTGCGAGACAAGAATACTTGCAGGCGGCGTCTGGGGGTGCTTTCGTGTGACTGTTTCAGATATTGTGCTGTGTACGTGTCCTTGCAGGGACCTTGCCTTCAAGCTCAAGCCCTTGAACCTCTCGAAAACCTTGATTGAGCAGCTGCTGGCGTTGGAGAAGGTATTCTCCCAAAAGGCAGGACTCGAGGAAAGACTTGATGTTTCATGACAGTGATGTGGGAATTCGGTTTTTGCAATGAAAGCTTTCAGAAGCTGCTGCTGGGCTGAAGGCCTCGATTTTGCAGAAGCTTGTGGCTGCCAACAAGAACAAGAACAAGCATTACAAGAAGATCACGGAGGAGGCAGCACCGACCACATAGGAGTGTTGCTGCGCAGGCTGTAGGTCTGTAACTACTAGCTGAAGACATAAATTGCATTCAATGCCAGATCAACCAGCTCCGCGAGACGGCGAGGGAGCGTGTGGACCTGGCGAAAGCCTTCATCCGGGCTAGTGAGAAGGGAAAGAAGAATGACAAGAGCAAGCCAGATGGAGACAAGGACAAGTAAGCATAAGTCTCGAGGTGAAGAAAGCTCACCTCGAAGCTTGACCCTGTGGCCTTAGAGTCTTTCGACGCCGCTGGATTTTTAATGGGCACTGTTGAGTTGTGTGCTTTGACACTCGTACACACCCTAACGAGCCTTACCCCATAGACCGAGTTAGACAGAAAAATAACTATTAGTCACGATTTTGGACACAGCCAAAAACACGACTATTCTCCAAAACCAGTTTTGGATAATATCCAAAAAAATTTTGGATACATATCCAAAATCACAAACCATGTTTTTCACGTAAAATTTTGGATATGGGCAGCTGTGATTTTGGATACGATATCCGAAATCCTAGGATTTCGGAATTCCGTTTTTGAAAGTTCGGGTCGAAATTTCGACCAACACTTTCTTTTTTGAAGGCGTTCTCACACGAAGTTTGATCGAAATTTCGACCCCCCTCAGGTCGAAATTTCGACCCCTTTTTTCCTGATAAAACCTACAACATGCAGCAAAGAGGGGTCGAAATTTCGACCCCCCCGGGCCCGAGGTGGGACGAAGTTTGGTCGAAGTTTTATTGGTTCTGGAGACGTTATGATATCCAGAATCCCACCATTTAGGGAAAACTTTTTTTGGATAATATCCAAAATTCTTACTTCGAAAAAATCTTGCGATTCTGGATATCATAACGTCTTCCGAAAGACACCGCATATCCAGAATCCTTGGTTCAAGGTTTCGGATATATATCCAAAATCCTGCATCAACATAGGTTTCGAGAAAAACAAGGATTCAAGATAATTCTTTGTTTTCTGGGCGTTTAGTTTTTCAAGCTAACTCGGTCTATGGGGTAGAAGGCATTGTGAAGCTGATTGGGCATGCAACTTGTAAAGCAGTGGATGGCCTGCGGCGAACATTGATGTGGCTTTTCACGGGCTCTAGAATGCGTCCTTCCATGGTGCTACGATTGTTTTGCTGCTTGTGTTGACAAAAGGCATTGCTGGAGTTCAGTGTTGACTGAATTCGTGTAGCGTCAAAATATCTGGGGGTGTGACCGCACAAAGTTTCTCCCACGCAGGGCGAGATCAAGATCTCGTGGTCGAATTTCGGTGGATGGAGAACGCAGCTGCTTGGCATGTATGATTTTTGCGATCGAACCTATTGTTTGGTGAGTATTGCTGCCGGCTGATTCACTTGAGGCCATTTCTTTGCTGAGCGTCCGACAGCTTCTCAATCTTCTGAAGGCACACTTCAGTGTGTGCGCCAGCCTCTTTTGAGGATTTATGTCTGTGAGTGTCACTTGCTCAGGTCAGGCTGTGGTGCGCAATGCAAGCCGTTCGGCCAGACGGATCCTGCGAGATGTCTGCAAAGGGGTGTCTTGGCTTTTGTTTCCTTACTTGCGGTTTAAATACTGAAGCCTGCAATGTTCGGGCCAATGACTTGGTTCTGGACGGCTGCCATTGTGGTCTTGCAAAATTGATGTCTGAATTTTCCGATGGGCATGCAGAGCGCAGCTTTCGGAGGCTTGAATCGGAATTGTTTGAGTCAAAAGATTTTTATTCTTAGCTATTATAAACTAGATGTCCTAATTCTAGTTCAGGTTTTTTCAAGATTCGTATGTGCTCATTTTGGAAGGTGGTATTCCGGCATCGCAGAGATTCCTGCAGGGTTTGTGGAACTCCCTTTGAATATCTCCGATCCCGATGGAAAAGTTTCGGCAAAAATGCATCCAACAGCTTGGCCCTGGGATGCACTGAACTGGCTGTACCGTACAGACAAGCTTTTCTCATGGGCATCCAACGACACGGACCGTGTTCATGAAGAATGCGATGCATACTGGAGAAAACTTGCCAAGGAAAGCATGGATGTCAAGGGCCCCGATGCTCGAATGACGTTTCCCCTTAACTGGCACGCCGACGGTGTACGGGTGTACAAACAGCAGAAGTGTTGGGTATATTCGTATTCATGTGCCCTGAAGAAGGGACCTTCATTGTCCTCGAAGCTCATGTTGCTCCTTGTGCGTGAACCCCTCTTGCGGAAACCGGACACCCACGACGCGATTGGGAAGGTGATTGGATGGATTCAACGTGTGCTTCAAACCGGGTTGTTTCCGCCAACAGATTTCATGGGTTCAGCATGGCCGCCTGATTCTTTGGAAGCTGCAAGAGCAAACCTTCCGTTTGCTGGAGGCTACAAATGTGCTTTCAGTGCCTTCAAAGGCGATTGGGAAGCTCGGGCGGTCATACACAAGCTGCAGCGCAGCTACAACCACAACAATATTTGCGAACACTGTCCAGCTAGCAAGTTGGACAATGGATTCAATTACCGAGACTTTTCATTGAACGCTCCTTACTTGGACGTGCAGTTCAAGTGCTATCCAACCTTGAGGGATGCTTTTTTTGGCGGTTTGGAGTTGGGCCTTGAAACTCGTTTCCATAGGACACATGGTACTTTTGGGGGATGTCGGGGCTCACCCTAAACCCTAAACCCTAAACCCTAAACCCCTAAACCCCTAAACCCTAAACCCTAAACCCTAAACCCTCAACCCTCAACCCTCAACCCTCAACCCTCAACCCTCAACCCTCAACCCTAAACCCTAAACCCTAAACCCGCCCACCACCCCTCTCATTCTAGAGGTGAGTGGGCGCCGTCGAGCGCTCAGCGAGACCATTGCAGGCTCTGCTGAGCTGCAGTGCCTGCCAACCGCACCCCTGAAGGGGTCGCCAGGCTACAGTCGCCGAGCTCAGTGACTGTTTATATATTATAACCCTAAAACCGACCCCTCTGCGGTTCAACGGGCTCAGCCTGGACTACTGGTCAAAAATCGCGTTTTTGCACTCCCAACCTTTTTTTGCGTCTTCCAGCCTGGGAGGCCCCTGGGAGGCCCCTGGGAGGGCCCCTGGGAAGGCCCGGTTTTGGGAGGTCTGAAAGGCCCCTGGGAGGCCCCACCCCCCCCCCCCACCCCAGGCCAGGCCCTGGAAGGCCCCTAAAACGTTGGTTGGTCTTTCGAAAGACGCTTCGAGTGAAAAACAATGAGAAGGCCCTCCCGCCCAAGACACCCCCCAACACAAACGCCGATTTGGCTCTCGCAAGCTTCTAGACCTGTTTAGCAAAGGGTCTATCGCCATACAACCTTTACGCTCCCGCATAGAGAAGAAAAAACAATGAGAAGGCCCTCCGGCCGAAGACACCCCCCAACGCAAACGCTGATTTGGCTCTTCTCACAAGGCCTGTTCATATCAACGCCGTGACACCCCGACGTCGAGAATGGAAACAATGAGAAGGCCCTCCGGCCGAAGACCCCCCCCCCCAACGCAAACGCTGATTTGGCTCTGGTGAGCTTCTAGACATGACTTTCACAAAGCCTGTTTTTTGTAACACCATGACATCCCGACGTCGAGAATAGAAACGATGAGAAGGCCCTCCGGCCGAAGACACCCCCCAACGCAAACGTTAATTTGGTTCTCGCAAGCTTCTAGACATGACTTTCACAAGGCGTGTTTATAGCAACAAGCCTGAGTGCAGAAGTGTTTGGATGTGGGCTGGCTTTGGTTTGGCTGGCTCTGGTTTGGTTCGTTTTGAGTAGTTTTTGGGTGGTCTTGGGGTGGGCATGTCTGCACACAAGTGCGTACAGCTGAACAATGCTACACCCTAAACCCTAAACCCCTAAACCCTAAACCCCTAAACCCTAAGCAAGAAGCACACGCTGGGGCACATGCCTCTGCGACTCGCCCTGAAGGGCCAGCCCTGGACTCCGGCATATTGGCAGCTGCGACATGCGGCCCTGCTGGATCTGCAGCGTCAATGTGGCGCGCCCGTCCTGTTCAAGACGCCCTACGAATGGGCCGCTCCCTACCATCGCTGGCTCCTGCACGCCATGGAGACAGAGAGGAAGGGCCGCCTGCACCTTGCCGGACCGGAGACGCTCCATCTGTGCCACATCATGACGGAGATGTTCCGGGTGTGGGTTCACGGCGGCGCCGTCAAGCACGGGGCCGCGTCGTCCTGCTGGAGCCAGCCGTCCCTGGGTCCGCGCGCGGCGTCCGATGCTTATCCGGTCCTCAACTTCGCCGGCCGCATCGAGTTTGAGGATGGCAAGCGGAAGCTGGCGACGCAGGACTACCACGGCCTTGCACGGCCTCACCTTCGCCACCTCCCTCAGCAGCTTGCCCTTGGAGAGCCGCCTGCACGCAAGCGTGCCCGAGGAAGCCGACCATCCCCTGCGCGGCTACGCGCTGGACGGGCAGGCCGGACGCACCGGCAGTGGCTGGCCCCTGCACGAGGGGGAGTCTTGCTTCACGCCGGAGGGCTACCTGCGACTGCGCCACACGGAGACGGACTCCGACATGGGCATCCGCGCCTACGATGTCGAGGAGATGGACGTCATGAAGTTCCACCAAGACCACGTGGTCCCGAACGAGCACCTGGACGGCCGCGGCCTGCTCCTGCGCTACATCAGCCTACCTGTCCAAGTTCAGCTCGTCCATGCTTCCCGACCTCCTCGACGACGCAGGCTCGACGGGCTACGGCATGGCCATTCGCACCCTCTCCACCTACCAACCTGGCGAACCCGAGATGTGGCTCGCGCTCGCCGCGCAGCTCCTGCCGCAATTCTTCCTGGGCGGCACGATGCGACCGGCGCAAGCGCCGTGGCCCGGCATGCCCGACAAACCGCAGTTCGTGGAGCAGTACGAGACCTGCGCCTGGCGCAGCGAGCACATGAGCCTGCTCGAGTGGCTGCAGAAGACCAACGATAAGGGCGAGATCGTTAGCTGGGTGAAGAAAGCCCACGCGCGACATGGGGCCGGGATGTCGTTGACGGAGTTCGCCTGTAGCTGCGAGACCAAGGGGGAGAAAGTGATCGCGGCGGAGACCGTGCGGATCTTCAACGACAAGTACTTCGGGCAGTGGCTGGCGCTGAACCTGCCCTTCCGCGACCTCGGCGACCTGTTGGACGTCCAGATTCTTGGACGCGTGCCCGAGCATTACGTGCTGCACGCCTGCGCCTTGAAGCGCGCAGGCGGCCGGTGGGCCGACGACGCCAAAGTCAAGGCTACCCTCCAGTTGGCGGGGCACCGCGACGGGTACATCGACAATGCTCTGGCGATGCTGCACGGTCAGAGGAGCCTCATTCAGAAGTACATGGACGGCAGCCTCCGGAAGGACGACCCTCTGCCTGCGCCCTCGACGACCTCCGCGCTCGCCGGCTTGGACACGGAGGAGACGGAGATCGACGTCGACCAGACCATCCTCGCGCGGGCCATCAACGACCGCATCGACCGAGCCCTGCTCCCGCGGCTCATGCAGGAAGCGGCGGAGGCCAACAGCATCCTGGTTTGCACGGGCCCTCCCGGCTGCGGCAAGACGGCGGTCGCCGCCGTCTGCCTGCAGCGAGCCGAGCGCCGCGGGGCGCGAATCCTCTATGCGCTGCCTACCGGGCAGCTTGCGGCTCGGACGCGGCAGCGGCACCCCGACATCGATGTGGACACCTGCCACAGCGCCTTCTTGCTCCACCAACCCTTGCAGGAGTCCCTGGCGCTCCTGACGATATACGACCTCGTCATCGTGGACGAAGCCCTTCAGCTGAGCGCCGAGCATTTCGAGCGATTGCATGAAATGTGGAGGGCGGCCAGCTGCTGCGCCTGCCTACTCCTGCTGGGAGATCCATGGCGGCTGCCCAGCGTCAGTGGCTCCTCGGCCGACGCAAGCCCGAAGTGGTCCCTCTGTCACCACGTGCGCCTGCACCGCATCCACCGCTGCCGCGACGAGGTGTTGGGTCGCAAGCTGGCGACGTTGCGCATGAACAAGCCCATGGGGGCCGAAGGCTTGCGCTTCGTGACCCAGGACATCTGCCGGGGGCACAAGGCCTGGTCGGGTCGCCGCGAGCCCACCGCGTTGGACGTGCAAGACGTTCTGGCCCGAACGGGCAACGCCACCACCTTCGTCACGTGCACCAAGCGGGGAGCGGCCGTGATCAACCAGCACGCCACGCAGGTGCTCTTCCACAACCGCAACAAGCGCCTGCTCGCGGAGATCCCTGGCGACTATGAGGACAACGAGGCGAACTACGACGAGGCCGGCCGCCTCCGAGAGGATCGCCCTCCGCAGCCCTCCGCCGTGCCTTTGTATCAGGGGCTTCGGGTCGTGCTGACGAGGAACTTGGATAAGGAGCACCACTACGTCAACGGCATGACGGCTACCGTCCAGGACTTTGATGCCGCCTCGAACAGCGTCGTCGTGCGCACCGAGACGGGGTACGTCCTCTCCATCTACAGGTACACCGATGAGAACGCGCCGACCGGACGCGTTCTCTACTTTCCACTGCGGCTTGGATACGCCGGCGCCATCTACAAATATCAGGGAGCCGAGCTGCCGCACGTGACGGTCTGGCTGGACCGCCCCATGCGCCCGGCGGCCGGGTACGTCGCCCTCTCCCGCGTCAAGTACGACAGGGACTATCTCATCGGCGGCGTGGTGACCGTGGACGACTTCGTCCCCGCTCGTTGAGAGGTGGCCTCCAGCAGCTGGCGTCTCTCGTTTCGAGGCCCCGATTGTTTGAGAGCTGTACAGCGCCTTCGGTAGCATCCGCAAGCATGCCCAGGCAGAAAAAAGAACAGTCCGGAGGAGTATCTCATGATGGCCAGCGTGGGAAAACGGCCCAGTGTCGCCGGCGACGTGTGTTGTAGCCCCTCATTGTGATCGTGCAACGGGACACATGTGTAAATTGCAGCCTCACGGCACCCTTGCCACTGCGCACCGACGCCTGACGCTCACTATGAAACAAGACTTGTAGCATGAAATCAGCACTGCGCGTGCACCGACCGTTCGCCGCGCGTTTGATGGCGACAATGCATGGCAAAGCACGCTGGCTCGAGACTTTTTGTCTTTACTTTTCGTTTTGATTTATATGAAAACAACCAACAACTACAGCAGAGACTACAAAGCAGCGAGAGAACTATCCCAAAAAACAAACCCTAAACCCTAATAGAGTAAGGTTTGGGTGGTCTTGGGGTGGGGTTTTAGCTTTCGCGCGGCGCGCCGCCCACGACCCCTTGGGCAGTGAGCAAACCCTAAACCCTAAACCCTAAACCCTCAACCCTCAACCCTCAACCCTCAACCCTAAACCCTCAACCCCTAAACCCTAAACCCCTAAACCCTAAACCCTAAACCCTAAACCCTAAACCCTAAACCCTAAACCCTAAACCCTAAACCCTAGTTTTTCATTAGGGTTTTTTGGTGGTTTTCCTCTTTGGCATTAGGGTTTCGAGGGTGTTTCGTGTTTTGGGATTAGGGTTTTGAAGATTATTGCATTTAGGGATTAGGGTTTGGCGTTTTATGGTTTAGGGCTAAACCGGATTCTCCGGAGGGGGGGGCGCAAGACGCCTCCCCGCCGCTAAGGAAAACCCTTCTTTTCTGACAAGCAACGCGCGACAAACCCAGCAAGGCCGAATCATTGCTTCAAATTTGGTTTCTCTTTTTTTCTGAACAAGAATTCCGCTCATCTGCATATCTTCTTTGTGGGATGGTGGTGGGCTATGCTGCACTGCTGACGTCCTGACGATCCTAGCCTTATTACCCTAAACCCTAAACCCTAAACCCTAAACCCTCAACCCTAAACCCTAAACCCTAAACCCTCAACCCTCAACCCTCAACCCTCAACCCTCAACCCTAAACCCTAAACCCCTAAACCCCTAAACCCTAAACCCCTAAACCCCTAAACCCTAAACCCTAAACCCTAAACCCTAAACCCTAAACCCTAAACCCTAAACCTCTCTTACCTATATATATTTAAACCCTATAGTCAGAAAATCGACCGGCCCTGTTGGGCACGCAAGGGTCTGGCCTTGTCCTGGCCCGCGCGCGCGCGGGCCTTGGCTTTTTCAAGGTTTTTCAAGGTTTTTCAAAGTTTTTCACTGTTTTTTATGGTTTTTCAACTGAAATCGACGGTTCTGGGTGGCCTCTCGTTTTCTGGATTTTTGACCAAACCGAGCCTTCACCGGCTTCAGAATTTCAAGTTTTTCACGGTTTGTCAAGGTTTTTCAGAATTTTTCAGTGTTTTTTAAGGTCGGTTTTCCAATGTTTTTCAGGATGTTTCAGGGTTTGTAACCCTCAATTCTGATGAAGGGCCGCCCCCGCGACCTTTTCACAGCCTAGTTTTGGTCAAGGGGGGTCGTATTTTTCAATTTTAAAGGCAAAATGGTCTTCTGAGACCCCCCCTTGCCTCAAACTCCGACCTGCCTCCAAAAGCACCCCAAATGAGGGGGACCCCAGGATCGGCCCGGGTCCCAGGTAAAAATGCGATTTTTTTAGTACTGAAATCGACGCCTCTGGGTGGTCTCTCGTTTTCTGGATTTTTTGACCAAAACGAGCCTTCACCGGCTTCAGGATTTCAAGTCCCGCCCCTCTATGGGGGCCGATGAAATGGTTCGTGGGTAGGAGGACAGGGCTTGCTGATGAGAAATGTACACTTTATCTGTTCTTAATGTTTTGGGGTTCTCTGGGTGGGTGGGTTTTTTTCCGTTGCCTACACACACTGCTGGCCTAGTAAATGCTCGAACTTGAGATGCTGAACCCTAAACCCTAAACCCTAAACCCTAGTTTTTCATCAGGGTTTTTTGGTGGTTTTCCTCTTTGGCATTAGGGTTTCGAGGGTGTTTCGTGTTTTGGGACTAGGGTTTTGAAGATTATTGCATTTAGGGATTAGGGTTTGGCGTTTTATGGTTTAGGGCTAAACCGGATTCTCCGGAGGGGGGGGCGCAAGACGCCTCCCCCCCGCTAAGGAAAACACTTCTTTTCTGAAAAGCAACGCGCGACAAACCCAGCAAGGCCGAATCATTGCTTCAAATTCGGTTTCTCTTTTTTTCTGAACAAGAATTCCGCTCATCTGCATATCTTCTTTGTGGGATGGTGGTGGGCTATGCTGCACTGCTGACGTCCTGACGATCCTAGCCTTATTTGCATTTCGATGGGGTCTTGAATGCTAGCTCAAAAATTCTAGATCAAACGCGCCCTGCTCTTCCGCATTTGCTTCCGCTTACTCGAACATAACATGAAGACTCAAGTGCTATCCAACCTTGAGGGATGCTATTTTTGGTGGTTTGGAGTTGGGCCTTGAAACTCGTTTCCATAAGGACACATGGTACTTTTGGGGGATGTCGGGGCTCGGTTGCGGTGGAAGCGGAAGGCTGCGTCATCTTGACTTCTACCTGTATGAGTATCTGCTAGGAGGAGCAGGAGATTGCGGACATCGCTCTTTGGCAGAAAACTCTCCCAAGGCAGTCCCGCATCTGAAGCATGACTTCAGCACCCTTTTTGTGAGCTTGTTCGTCTCCAGCTTCAATCTCTGTGCATCTACGATCCTTCTAGGCTGGAGGCAGCACAAAGGCAACCAGCCACACACTGCAAAGCGGGGTCGCTGCACATCTTGTGTTGTGAGTCCGGCAGGCGCAGACTTAGGAAGACTGTTGCAATCTTCTCTGCGGTGCATTTGCCACAAAGTCACTGGGCTACTCACTCAACTGGAGTTCGCATGGCATTGGACCTGGAACTGCAGCGATTCATTCAAAGGGCTGACCATCCCTCGCCTCGTGAACTTCATCCCTGAAGGCACATCGACCCCCGGAATCCGCCTGGCTCAGTAGCCCAGGCCGTGCATGTACTCTGCGAAAGCGACGACCGCCTACAGGGCAAGTACTGACGCTTACCGGTCGACGGTGAAAAACCCCAGATCCCCAAAACAACTTGGCAAAAGAAACGGGCCGAAGTACATGAAGTGCGGATCATTCAGGGTTGGCTATACTTGAGTTCAGGACATGAGGGCTTCGACCAAAGCTTATACCACTGGTCCCATCCTTTGTGCAGTTGCCGCCCACTTGGCCCTTCTCTTTCTTCCTGAGCAACAGAGCGAACGAGCACAGACGCAAAAAAACGCACAAACCCACGAGCCACCTTATTTACAAGCGGAGTATGAAGGAAGACTTCGAATGTTGCGGCACTTAAGCTCCAGGAGCGAAGCACCGACTTTTGGATTGGGGTTCGCTGAAGTTCGCTGTGTGGGCGAAAAGAGAGGAGGATCTATGGGTGTCAGCAGGCAGCCCGGAGCGAACTCTCTAATCCAGAACATGACAGACCGTGTCCAAGACTAGGACCTTCAGAAGCCGCAACTTGGAGATACAAGGGCCTCGCAAGCGCACCGCGAGAAAGCCCACCCAGTCTCCGGGGAGGAGGAAGTTCGTCCAGACACCTGCGAAGTCTCCCCTAAGCCTCTGGTTTAGGGTTTAGGGTTTAGGGCCCCCGCAAATTAAATCCGTGGCACTGTCTCTTGTCGGGTTCCGTTTTTAGATCTTCTCAAGCAACATGGTGTCAACATAAGACCTGCAAGCACAAGCCGGGCCGGTCATTGGATGTGAGGAACTCTGTACGATGCATCAGTTGAGGGGGAAACCGTGTCCCTTGGGGCGCATGGACGAAAACGCCCTCAACCGAGCGCAACGAAAGCTGAAGGAAGCTCTCAGGCCTCCGAAGTTAAAAACGGCACTTCGCAAAGCAACCATTCCAAGAAGTGGAGGCCCACTCTCTGGCACTATTTCTGATCTTTTTTGCCTTCCTAAACCTATCGTGTCGTATCGAGATCCCCCAACCAAAACAGGAATGGGCACCTGGCGGGCCGGCCGGCGGGGATTTCATACCCAAGCTGGCGAGGCATGCATGTCACTTGGACGAGCTCCAGTGTTGGAGGCTGTTGTGGTGTTAACCCTAAACCCTAAACCCTAAACTCTAAACCGAGCCAGAATGTGCATCGCAGACTGCCAGAAGCATCACAAGGCCTCCGCGACGACAAAGTGGGAATTGAGGAGCTTCTGGCACTCTGCAGGGTTGCCCTCCAAAGCTTGCTGCAGAAACTCTGGGATCGCTTGCCCTTGGACGAAGTCTGCTGCCCTCCAAGCTCGGCAATTCCTCATCTCCAGACTTGCATTGAGCGCGATCAGCGCAGCGGCACCCTCATGCTGTGCAGACTGCATGGCTGCCATGAGGGGAGTTTGGCCGTGCGCGTGATAAGCCAGCGCTGAGAAGGATGTTTTCCGACCCAATCGATGCTGCAGCGACTTGGCAGCATAAACAAGTCGGCCCATGAGGGTCAAGCCACGATAGATGTCGTACTGGAAGTCCACATCAGCCCTCAGGTCCACCAGCCGCTTCACCAACTCGGCAGAACCACCGCCGAGCACCATGGCAGCCCGAAGTGCTTCGGAAAGCTCAAGATGGTCAGGGCGCCCTTGTCTCACCAGCTCCTCCACGGCTTTCAAGGCCCCATAACCAGCTGCAGCTTCCAAGCCATTCGGCCCCAAAGCTGTCCTCGCCATTGCATCACCGCCGGCTGCACAGAGAAGGCCGATGCCCTCCGCGTTGTCAGCGATGGCTGCAAACTGAACCGCCGGGACCATGCCACCGTGCACTTCAGCCCGGAAGGCGATGAGCAGCTGTGCAGCCTCGTTGTGCCGGTAACGGACTGCTATGTCTAGGGCCGAGGCCCAGGGTGGAAAGCCCAGCTTGGCTTCGTCCCTGGTGGTCCTACAGTTGGGATCGGCACGCTGCTGCAGCAAGCCCTCGATGAGCTGCACGTTCCCGGAGAAGGCTGCATAATGCAGGGGCCACCAGCCCGCCGCGTCTCTTCTGCTAACCTTGGTAAGACCATTCTGACGAAAGAAATGCGCGACCATTCCGGGCATGTCTGCACCACTAATGCCAGGAACCAGATCACTCACGGGTTCAATTTCGAGGCCTCGGAGATGCACCGCTTGTAGGTTGAGGTGGCGCCGGTAGGCAGGAAAATCCCCAGCCTTCAACGACAGCATCAGCTTCCGCTGCACGATCGCCTTCATCACCGGGGCGAGTTTGGCTCGGTCACTCTCAACGGTGAACTCACCCTCACCGACGGACCCCGAAACTGCAGCTCCTACCACTTCGACAGAAGTAGAACTTCGCACCAGTATCCAGGTGTCATGCTCAGAAAGCTCGCGTGCTGCTCGCTCCAATCTACACCATCCCCTCGTCGACCACGTCGTCACATTCAGCATGCGCCCCTCAAAATGGCATTCGATGGTGGGGCACAGGGCAAAGAAGTAGCGGCACTGCTCCACATATGCATGGATACTGTTGATGGCCTTGGTTTGCTCGCAGCGGTCGGTCTGTGGGACCGAAAAGTAGTCGTACCAGAAGAACAAAACCTTCGCACGAAATTCTTGGAAAGGAATGCCTTTGGCAGATTGCATCAACGACTCCGTCACGACATCCAGCGAAATGAATCCGTTCCCACTCAAGAAATGCTTCACTGCATCCTGTAGAACCCGCATCTGCTTCAGATCAGGATCGGGATGTCCTTTGGAGACCCATTGGTGGGAGACAAACGCCGCGTTTCCAATGCTGCCATCGAAGAGAATGATGTCGCCGCGCTCCTTCGAATTCGCATGTCGGGAGGGGGGGGAATATGAATATATAAATTCGCCTCGGCTTCCTGCCGAGAAGCGTCTGGAACAAGCAGACCCGGATCGGGCCTCCTTCCCCCTAACCCAACCCTTCCCCCCATGCAAATTTTCTGACGCCACCCCCCCCCCCCCCCCCCGCCCCCCCCGCCCTGTGGGACCCCCGCCAGTCGCTTGGAGGAGCTGCAAACCGATGCCGTGGAGGGTCCCGCCTGTCGGTGCCCCCCCACCCCCCCCCACCCTCTTTCCTCCTTTCCTGTCCTGGGGCCGCGGCTGCCGAGGCGGCGCGCGCAAGCGTTTACAATAAATGAGCAATACATCTGTATAAATATAACATGTAATATAATATAAGATACTGTATACATATATGTGTACATGTAGATACGTAGATAGATATAGGCCTAGCCCTTTCATCCTTCCGCCGCCCCTTCCCGCATGATGCTTTGCAGAGTGTTCTTACCCCTGTCTGTTTCTTGAATGTGAAAACAATCATGGGATTTGGAATGCCCCCACCATTCCCCCAAACAGCATCACTGATCATACAAGATGCCTGCGAGCAGACATGCTGAGCTGTTTCTGAGGTGCCTCTAGCGCCGATTCTGAGGTATGAAAAGTGCTCACCCACAACAATCGCCCACAAACCACTGAATCGACATCTAACGGCCTAGCCAAGGTACACCACTTGCGAATGTCTCATTCTATGTGGGGCCCATGGGGCGCCAGAAGAAACAATCATTCATGCGCACACGCAAACACAAAGAGCAAGAAAGAACCGGCCTTCAGTTGCTCGTGAGGCTCCATCTGGGTCATCTCGAGTAGCTTTTCAACCGCCAGGGTGTACATAGGGAACAACATTGGAGCTGCCTGAATTGGACCCGCTTCGGTTTTTTATGATGTTTCACCACCTGCCCAAACTGGCTGAACCTTATCCGCCGAGGCCTCGGGCCGGAGGTGTATAGGTTGTCAACAGGCCCCCACGCAAAGCCCCTTTTTTTGGCCTCAAATGGGTACCCCCCCTGGGAAACCGGGGTCCGCAAGCGGACAGGTTCGCCAGGACCAGAGGCAGTTGAAGCCCCTCCCAGCAGGGCCACCCCCCCCCCCACCCCCACCCCTCCTCCCCCCCCACCCCCCCCACCCCCCCCCCCCCCCACCCCCCCCCCACCCCCCCCCCCCCCCCCCCCCACCCCCCCCCCCACCCCCCCCACCCCCCCCCCCACCCCCCCCCCACCCCCCCCCACCCCCCCCCCCCCCACCCCACCCACCCCCCACCCCCCCCACCCCCCCCCCCCCCCGCCCCCACCCCCCCCCCCCCCCCCCCCCACCCCCCCCCCCACCCCCCCCACCCCCCCCCCCTACCCCACCCCCCTCACCCTGCCGAAGAGTCGCCTTAAACCTTAAGGGGCCTGGCTCATACGATCACTCCAAGCCGAACCCTAAACCCAAGTGAACCTTGAGCCCTAAACTAACCCTCAACCCCAAACCCCAAACCATTAACCATAAACCACAAACCCGGAACCCTCAACCCTCAACCCTCAACCCAACCCTTATTGCTTGGGGTCCAGCGACTTGGGCGCTGCGGAATCACCATGCTCACGCGGATGCGCTGGGCCGGGCCGAGGCGGGTCGCGTAGCGTTAAAATTAAACCATCGTTAAGAAACCTCATTCAGCTGTTAAGGTAGGCCCTCGAGGCTCTGCGACGAGGAACGCCCTCTGACTTTTCCATGATGCTAGCCTGCAGCTCCAGAGGCGTTGATCCCAGACATCGCGAGACGCAGCCCCTCACCATCCCTCTGACACCTGCAGAGAAGCTCTTAGAATCCGACGTCCTAACACATCACGTCTGGAACGCATGACAGATTCATAACAGGACTTCTCCCGGTCGTGGGCTTGCTCTCTGCCACGTGCATTCTGCGAATGGATCGAGCTTCTGGAGCCGAGATCCGTGGGAAGCACTTGCGTCGGACATCTCCTACTTGGTATCGATCCCCACAAGTCGTGCCACTTGATAAACTGCATACTCTCCCCAGTCCCACAAGAATCTCGAAGGTGTGCAGCTTATTGCTTGAGGTCTTGGCCAAAACCCCCCAACGCTTAGGAGAAAACAACCCATCCTTGAACCCGAACCGGCCCACACTCCGATGTTTCCGCCTTCTGAGACGAAGCCTTTCAGTTCCCATCCCTCGGGCGGGAAGGCGACACGGCATTCTCTTTGGGGCTTCCAGGGCGCTCATTGGACAATTGCTACGTTTCTGAACCTTTGCACCTCGTGTCGGGCCTTCAATGGCTGAACTCCAACTCGAGCTACCCATAGGCAACTTCCTGCCGACACCAAATCGCAATCCACGCCATTTGAGGGCCTTGGAGGCCCTTGGGGGATGTCCAGAAGCACGCCCTCATGCCTGTGATCAAGGTTCGACCAAGGTTCATGGTACTTTCGGGCTTGGGATGTGCGAGCCGGGTCGGTCCTTCGGGTTGTGTGTGCTTATATATATATATATATATGCTACCCCCCCCCTCCAAAACCTACCGTTTTCTAATTTTCTACACTTGCGTGACATCAAAACGCTTTAAAGATGAGACCGACTCCCTAAATCCTTTGACCTTATTCACACAATTTTCTGTTGCATAAACCCTCTTCCCAAAATCCTGCTCGCTAAATCCGAAAGCACGGGATTCCTACATCGTATTCCCTAAATCATATTCCCCCAGTCCCTAAATCTGGGGCGGGCGGGGGGGGAGGGGGGGGGTGGGTCACTAAATGGCTCACTAAATCTTCTCGCTAAATCCTAAAGGGTGGGATCCCTAAATCATATTCCCATGATTTTACTCCCTAAGTCTTTTCCCAAAGCCCTAAAGAGGGAAGTCTTGAAATTCTGAAGAGGAGAGCCTCTGAATTCTAAAAGATCATCACTACCTCCATTACGGGGGTTTCCGTATGGGGAAATACCGCCACAGTGAATGAATTTTTTCCGGGGGTGTTCAAAAATCTGTCTGCAGGCTTCGTTTTTGATTGCTGAGCTGCAGTCTGGATCGGCGAAACTACAATACATTCCTATTGTGCTTAATAGAGAATGCATACATTGCCATGGTCTCATTATTGCAGTGCCCTGCCTTTCTTATTGCGGTGGGGGGTCCCACCAATTAAACAGATGCTCGGATAAAATCTTATCGGGATCCCTAGATCTGGTTCCCTGAAATTAACTCCCTAAGGCCTAAAGGTGGGGGGCGGGGGAGGGGGGCTAAACCCTAAAGAGGAGATCCCCTAAATCCTAAAAAGCATTCCTTAGTTTTACTTTCTAAATCCTGTTGCTTAAGCCCTAAAGAGGGGTGTCCTAAAGAGGGGGATCCTTACTATAAATCTTAAAGACGAGCCTCTCCGTCTACATCATAAAACAAAGAACCTTACTCAGTAGATCTTATCGCTAAAGTCAACAAAGAAGGATCCCTCAATCTTATCCCTTAATTTCACTCCCTAAATCATATTGGGGAAGAGGGGTGGGAGGGAGTCACCAAATCCTAAAGAGGGAATCTTAAGTAGCCTTAAATCCCCAAAAATGAGACCCCCCCCTAACTCACACAAAAGCCAACCTTACTCAATAAATCTTCTCGCTAACGCTAAAGCTTTAGCGATAAGATTTGCGCCCCCTTAGAAAATAGGATTTGGGGACTAAGCTTTGGGATGCTCCCCACTTCAATGCCTATTCCCTAAATCCTTCTCGCTAAGTCCTAAAGAGCGGGCTCCCCTATAATGATGAAATATGTCCGATTCAAATTTGAATCGGCCGATTCAGTTTTGAATCGGCCCTCAAATTAAAGGTTGAAGTCGTCGTAGTGTTGCAATACTCACATGCATATTCATACTGTGTATTGGCTTTATATGTAGGTATGAGTTGGTACGTAATCTGTGTACTCACTCAATCTCCAACGCAACAAATTTGCTTATAAGGACTTAATTTGCTTCTAAATAGAAGGGGAGAGGGCGCCAGGGGTCGGTCTTCCAAAATAAGTAGGACCAAAAAACACTCCCCACCACACCCCCCCACTCCCCTCCACTTCACTCCACTGCGTGTTCTGGGTTTGTTTAAGGGTATTGTCAGGGCTTATTCTCCAAAACCCTATCGATCCAGGGTTTAGGATTCTAACGAGAAGCCCCAAAACCCCAAGCCTATAGGGTTAAGCAATTTAACCTCAACCCTTAATCTTTAAACACCCTATAGGGTTACGGTTTAAAGGTTTAGGATTTGAATTTCAGACATGTAAACCTTGACCTACAATTCAACGGAAACACGAAACCTTTAACCCTTGCAGGGTTAAGGTTTAAAGGTATAGGGTTTAAGACATGGGCACTCTAAACCCCTATCGATCCAGGATTTAGAGTTTTAAAGAAAAGCCCCGAAACCCTATAGGATTAAACAAATAAGCCCAATTCTTTAACCTTTAAACCCTGTAGGATTAAGATTTAAAGGTTTAGGGCTTAAGATATAGGCATTTAAATCTTGACCTGCAAATACACCGAAACCCTTAAACTTTAAGCGTTAGTTCAAGGTCTAGAATTTAAGATATATGTATTTAAACCTTGACGTGTAATTAAACGAAACTTGCAACCTGGAAACTTTATAGGGTTAAGGTTTAAAGGTTTAGGGTTTAAGATATATGATTTTGAACCTAAGCCTGCAATTAAGTTGAAACACATAACCTTTAAACCCTATAGGGTTAAGATTTAAAGGTCCCGGGCTTAGCGTTTTATAGAGAAGCCCCAAAACCCATATAGGATTACAATTACCCTAAACGCGCACGCAACCTTCATGTTGACGGCCGACATGAGGAGTATGCTATGGCTGGAAACTGCGCGTTTATAGCCCAAGCTGCGCGTCGAAATTGTGCACATATAATGGAACCACTTTCAATGCTTCAATATATAATACCATGGCCTAGAGTTTTGTAAGATGTTTTTTAACCATAAGAAAAATCTTCAGGACCGGGCGTTTTAAAACTCCTTGCTTAGCCACAAGAGGAGTTTTAAAACTCCTGCCACCGAAGATTGAAGATTGAAGATGTCTCAGGACTCTTTGTGGGAATCTTCAATCTCAAGTAGTCGGGGCCGGGAGTTTTAAAACTCCTTGCTTAGCCACAAGAGGAGTTTTAAAACTCATGCCGCCGAAGATTGAAGATTGAAGATTCCTGGAAAGAGTTCTGGAGAATCTTCAATCTTCAATCTTCGGGGCCACGAGTTTTAAAACTCCTTGCTTAGCCACAAGAGGAGTTTTAAAACTCCCTGCCCCTAAGATTGAAGATTGAAGATTCCTGGAAAGAGTTCTGGGGAATCTTCAATCTTCAATCTTCGGGGCCACGAGTTTTAAAACTCCTTGCTTAGCCACAAGAAGAGTTTTAAAACTCCTGGCCCTGGAGATTTTTTATTGGAGTCTCTAAGTATTTAATCCGCCGACCCCAGCAACAGCGGGGCGGCGTCAGTGAAGACCCTCTGTTTGTTTCTCCCCGCCACACCCCACCGATTAGAAACCCACCCCTCCCCCAACCCCTCCCCCCCAAACCCCCCACCCCCCCCCTGCCCTACCCCACCCGCTGCCGATCCCCCCCTCCGCCTATACCCTCCCTCGGTGAGGCAATGATTAAAGGCTCCAGCACAAGGTACGCCCGCACCTCCCCTCCCCCCACCTATCCCTCCCTTGCCGATGAGGCAAGATTTTAAAGGCTCCATGCCCTCCCCTCCCTCCCCCCTTCCCGCCCCTCCCCCACCCCCCCCCTACCCTCCCCACCACCCCCACCTCCCCTTCTCACCCCCCCCCCACCCCCCTTCTCCCCACTTTTGCAACCCCCCAACCCCCCCATTGGC